CAAACGCCTCGCGGCTTTTACAATTGGGCAAACACAAATTAAGCAAATCTGCTAAACCTCCTAAAATTACGTAACGGTGAGGCATGCGATAAAAAGTGCCATGGAGAAGATGGTGACCTCACTCCCGTTGCCCACGTGCCAGTCCGCTGCCTGGTGAGAATGGGGCGCAAGAAGCTTGCAGAACTCAGCTAAGCGTGCCACACAGAAACTGGTTCCTCACATAATAAACAGGGCGTCCCAAAAAATTAAGGTGAAGTCTGGCATGGGTATTGTTTGCTGTAAGATATTAAGTGCAGCGCGAAAAAGTAGTTTATACACACAGGCTCACACGCATATTGTGCGCTTACTTTCAGCAACTAGGGCGATAAATTTCTTAGTGTGCGTGCAGAAGGTCTAGCCTTTTCGTGTATGTTATATTGCCCTCGCATTGCCTGACCAACGCGCTTCAAAAAATAAAGCAATTTGCTTGAATCATCGCGAGCCTCTGAAAGAAAGCAGTTGAGTACAACAGGGGCAAATGTGGTAGAGGTAATAGAATCTCAGTGAAATAACTTATGGTCATTATATTGCTCGCAAACCCTAAGTTAATGGCTCAAAAAGCAATTAGCTTATTACGTTGAACATGGAGACGTGTTGACCAAGTTCAACCCTAAGTTAACTAGCACTCAAAGCGAGTGCCCATAATCTTAGCCAATAGCCTTACCCGTTCAGCATGCTCGCAACCGACGGAACACAGAGGCCGTGCACTAATGATTTGTGTTTTGGACTATGAAACTATATGTCATGGGTTCGAGCCTAAGGGGTCTCACAACCCGGTGTTGGGTATGGCTGGCTAATAAACCGGAAAGGAAAATCCTATTCTCTATTGCTTTGGTCGCTATTGTTCATTTGCCTATAATACTAGATGCACCGCGGCTGTTGCTGGGGCTCGATAGTGAGCCGCAAGATACCATCGGATGGGTAAGTCCCGTGAGCTATCGGCGAACACTGTGTCACCCACCGAAATGAGTTAAAAATGAGGACAAAATGAATTACGTGACATTAAACTCAGAAACATTATGCTCGCTTTTCAATAA